TGTCCTTGAGTCCAGGTGAACGTTTGTGCCAAATGTGAGGAGATTTGAGGAGTTCTCGAGGTATTGCGTTCACAAGGCCAAAATAATGTTTTGTGAGGTCAACGTGAACTTGACCCTTGAACTTTGTCCTTTAGCCACCAAATTTTAATCAGTTCATCCTTGAGTCCTAGTGAATGTTTGTGCCAAATTTGAAGAAGTTCCGTCACAGCTTGACTGAGAAATCGTGTCCACGAGAATGTGATGGACGGACAAACAACCCGAAAACGAAATGTCTCCGGCGCGGAGGGAATAAAAATATTTGTTTTAAAAATTAACACAATTAAAGTTCATTATCAAACAATAAAATAAATAAAGAGCTGAAAATATCAAAACAAACATATATACATCAGCTATTTAATCACCTAACTTAATCAACTTCAACCAAAACACTGATCTGACCTGCAGAATAACAGGAACATGACAGACAGAACATGGTTGATTTTATGAGGTTGGGAGTTTCACTTCTAATCACCCACAAATGTAACAGCCAGTCATATTCAGTTTATATCTTGAATTCAAATAAACTGTTTAAAATATGCAGCTGATTCAGTTCAACATGAATGACGAGTGTTTGGAACATCTGACCTGACGACTTCCACTGCAGCAGGAGATCAGCAAATCCCCGGTTTCACACAGACGCTCAGACTGGTCTGTCGTGTTGGTCCAGTCTTAATGTTGCTCACAGACGGACTCATTTTAAACCAAAAACATTAGACACCTTAACAGACTAACTCAGGCCTGAGACCAGTGTTACCATGGTAACAATTAACACCTGCGCTGAGCAATAGCGCTCTACAGCAGAAAACAGGAAACCATGGCTCATAATTTGTGGTTTGCTAACATTGTTATGGAGAGCGTGATGAGAAGGGAAAAAGTTTTTAGAGACGCCAGTGACTGTTTTTTTTTTTCTTTCCAAATCAGATTTTGAATTTTTTTTTAATTGTTTCACTCTTCAAGCAAAACGTCCTTGTAACTGTTGAATTCCTCCAAAACACAAACATGTTCTGCTGAGGGTTGACAGAGCTGAATGGTTGGATACGGTTCCTCGGTTCGCCATTTTTTTATTTTAAAAAAATGTCTTAATTTACCCAGAATTCATTGTACCACAGTCTTAAGATAGTCAAGAACTAAAGTGCTTTGTGCAATGGATGAATTTAAAATGAAGGATTGTGAAATGGACAAACATATCGTTCCGTTGTTGACAGTGAGTAGAATATAGAACAGTAGAATATAGAACAGCAGAATATAGAACAGCAGCCTCATCCTGAATCAACTCGTTTCCCTTCTCTCTCTCTCTCTCTCTCTCTCTCGGGGCGAGTGGCCATGCTTTGGCAGGTCACGTGCGGCTCGACTGACATAATGAACTCCCAGCTGGAGCTCAGCCAGCAATGAGGCCATGTAGCTCTCTATTGCTCTCATTCATTCTCTCTCTCTGTTTAACCGTTCTCTCCATCACGTTTACACTATTCCTGCCTCTGTCTCTTTCCCTCCTCTCTCATTTTTCTCACTCTTCATTGATTTCTTTCTTTCTCTCTCTACCAGCCTGGAAAAAAGCTTTGGGCCCCTCTGCCTGCCCCCCCCCCATCATGGCATGAATAGTTTTCTATGTCAAGTTGACCCTCATTCGTAGAATATCTGGCCCCCTCCTCCCTCCATCCATCCTTCCTTCGATCCTCCTTCATCACCACTTAGCCCACTACCCAAAATATCTGTCAGCTGTCAGCCGAGAAAAAGAGGAGGATGTTGTCAACGTCCAGAAAGAATGAAAGTATTCTGCTCCATTTTTTTCCCATATAAAAAAACCACATATGAGAAATGAAAGGGGCTGGGGGGGAGGATTAAATGGTGCTTCATTCATATGATTCACATGATCACAGACTTGAATTGATCGTCTTTCCCCTGGTTGTTTATCAGTGTTTATCGGTGTCTAATATTCTTTTATTGAAATATTTATTTTATATTTATGATCCGTTCTATCGTCTCCATCACAAACAGCAGATATGATTCACACTGATCTGATGAAACTCAGGACAGTGTCACTGTTGGGACGGGCAGTTTAAATGTCCTAAATAACTCAATGTCACATCTTTTTGCATAATGTTGATTTGAGATGTTTTTTATTTATGCTGTTCTACATGTTTTATTATGCTCGGATACTTTCTTCTTTTATTTCCTCTGGTTTAACTTTTTTTCTTGTAAAGCACTTTGTAACTTTAGGTTTGTAACTTTAAGAAAAGTGCTATAAAAATAAAGTTATTATTACTATAAATATATTTAACTTCCTGAAATCTGATTCAAAAGACGGCCTTTTTGAGACGTGGATCTAAAAACAGCTGACACAACAACTACACGTTAAAAACATGTGAACAGTGCTACCATGAATCATTACAAAGCTGTCAGTTGTTCTCTGTAGTAGTGTAATGTTATGTTGTATTATATTATATTATATGAGAAAAAACAACAACAACAACAAAAAAATTCCTCATATTATGTCGATTCTTTAATTTTCTTTTTCAAATTTTATGGGGAAATAATAATCAATCTGTACTGTCTTTGTCTGTGTGTGTGTGTGTGTGTGTGTGCTTGACTATGTGTCTGACGAGGAGCACTATCCTCACTCAGAGCAGCAGTTAATTCTCAGATTATCCTTTTAATGAACAATGGCTGGGATTAGGATTATGGGTTGAGGTGGGGGAGGACTGGGCCCACTGGACCAGTTAAAGGAGCATTTATGGGATCTCCTTAACAGGACAGACTGCGTTGTATGGCATGTGCTGCTGAGGGCACATAATCCTGTAACACACTACAGTCCACACAGCACTGGTGCAGACAGAGTGAAATCAGAGCTGGATGACATTCATCTCACCTTTAAACCATAGCTAACATGAAACACATCACTGGTTTTTTCTCATCAAAGTCAAAAGAGCTGGGACGTGGGAGGAAATCCCAGTTTGGCAGCCGGTTTCACAGAGACAGACTTTGACTCTGACATAGAACAAACAGTCTGACTTCAGATAGACTTAGTCTAAATCCATCCGTTGCACAAAGCAATTTAGTTCTTGACTATCTTAAGATATGGTTTAATGAATTCTGTGTAAATTAAGAATTTTTTTCTAAATAAAATTTAAAAAATGGCCGACAGGGGAACCACATCCAACCTCTCAGCGCTGTTAACTTTCAACAGAACATGTTTCTTTTGGAAGAATTCAACAGTTACAAGGACGTTTTACTTTGGAAATTCAGTGATGAGTCAAACTGTAAAAAAAAAAGAAAAGAAAAAGAACAAAAACCTGATTTGGAAAAACAAAATGGCTGCTGTCTCTCTTTCCCTTCTCATCACTCTCTCCATAACGTAATGTTAGCAAACCACAAACTATGGGCCATGTTTTCCTGTTTTTTGCTGTTGGGTGCTGCTGGTCAGCACAGCTGTCATTTATTGTTACCATGGTAACATCAGTCTTTGGCCCGAGTTAGCCTGGAGGTGAGGTGTCTTTGTTTTTGTGAAACGGTCTGACTGACATCAGACTGCTCTATGACACAAATTAAGACTTTACTAAAGTATCTTTGTCAAAACTGGAGTTTGACCCGGTGTAGGATCTAAACATCAGGACAGAGCTGCTCAGGTTTATGGAAGAAAAATACTACATCACTGGAGAACCGGTTCAGTTCAGGTGACGTCAGGACACGAACAGGAACATCACAGACAAGGTGTAAGGGATCAGCTCGTCCTTCACTCCAGCTGGTTTCCAGTTTCAACACAGGAGTTATAAATGACAGATGACAGCTGATACTAAATGTGTCAATACCATCTAATCCAGCAGTTTGACTCTCCTCTGTGTGTGTGTGTGTGTGTGTGTGTGTGTGTGTGTGTGTGTGTGTTTAGTGGGAGTTCTGCGTGTCGCTATGGTGATAAATTCAGGCAAAATCCAATATGGTATGTAGTGGGACAGAAAGAGAGAGGAAATGAGAGAGACCTTCTTGATCAGCCTGGCGTGTCATGATGAACTCACACACACACACACACACACACACACACACACACACACACACACACACACACACACACACACACACACACGTGATACTGTATGGGGTTGACTCTAGCCGCACCAGTTGTTGATTATGATCTCATCTCACTGGTCATGCCTGGGCCATGCTTGACCTGGTTCCCATAGTGTGTGTGTGTGTGTGTGTGTGTGTGTGTGTGTGTGTGTGTGTGTGTGTGTGTGTATCCCACATACTGGGTCAAACTGAGCTGTGCTCCACTCGGTCCTGTTTCAGTGTTACTGATGGATTCTCTCTCCGTCACCTCTCGGTCGGAGGCCTGGGATACAGGAAACCCAATCCACCGTGTCCTACGACACAATCCGTGTGTGTGTACACAAAGGACACAGGCGAGGCACATGGTTGGAATAGCTGGTGTTTGCTGGAGCATTAAAGTTTGGCCTGAAGCTCTGCAGGACTAAAACGCTGCAGCTCCCTGCGGCGCTTTTCCTTTGAGGATATCACACCGTTCACTTCCTGTTCATTTCAGTTTAGTCAGCGACAAATCAAATCTCAGTTTCAGTCTGACACAAACATTTATGGCCCTTATTCTGAAGAACATCCCCGCACACCAAGTAAAATATAATACTCCACTGAGTACACTGCCACAGCAATAAAAGGGAAAACTAAAAACCAATAATTACAACCAATCACAACCAATAATCACGTTTTAATTCTGTGCACAATTATCCTGGATACTTTGATGAGTTGAAAAGGAGGTTGAGCTACACTGACTGCAGACAAACTATATGAATGACCAACTCCACAGAGACTCGAACCAAACTCCCTGGTTCTAATGTCTTTTCAGAAATGTTATTTTCTCCTCACCTGGATCGTGAAGCAGGATTATCATGTTTAACTGATGTCACATAGATGATTCTAAGTCTTTGGTCATTGTGTTTAGGTTGGATACTCACAACTCCAGGACTAGCACCATCTCAGAGGCCATCTCATAGACCTGGTGGAGGTTGACCACCCGGGAGCTGACGGTGGCGAGCTCCAGCACGGAGATCTCATGGATGATCTCCGTCCGGCAGTCCTGGCCTTTCCGTCTCTTCCTCATGAACTTTGCGGCGTACTCGTGGCCCGTGCATTTCTCCACACACTTTCTGACCACAGCGAACTTCCCCCTGAAAGAGAAGAGGACCGTCAGTGCTGCACACACACAGGACACGTTCAGGTGAGAGTGTAACTGGAGGACGGCGAATCCAGTCCGATTTTAATAAAACACCATGTTATTCCTCCTAATAGAGACGCCGCAGACTCGTATCTGATTTCTGTTTTCCTGTTGGTCATGAGAGGGCTCACAAGACCTTAATGATTAGGAATTGACTAATTGATCTGGACTGAAATGGTTCTACAGAGGGTGAAAAAAGAGACACAGAAATCCACCCATCAAGAAACAGTATGATGTGAGTCAGGGGTAAATGTCCTTTTAATAATGGTTTCTGCACTAATCTGTTCTTTTTAATGTTTAATAAATGAGACCAACAGCGCTGAAATTATTCTATATGAGCCTCATTGTTCTTTCAGTTACGACCAGGCGACTGGAGGGGGAATGTTTTCATCTTCGTTATGTAATAAACTGCTCAAGGCTTATTTCAAGATATGGAAAACACATGAGTCACAGTCAGATGAGGGGAGATAAGCAGTCATCAGGTTGTTTAACAAACTTTCATTATGCCTTTTCTTATATGTTCTTTTTGTTTGCTGATGTTATTGCAGCTTTTTAAATCTATTTTATTCTATCTCATCATCAGCTTTCTTATTTGTTTTTTTATTAGCTCATCCAACACCTGTGAAGCAAACTGCTAGAGGGTGAACCGCAGTAACCTGTATGAAAAGTGATATACAAATTAAGTTACTGTTTGATTGATTTGATCAAGATCATCTGAACCACTTTAGAGGTCAAACTGAAAATTAGCGCATCTGAACTGTCGCATATCGTCTCACTTTACAGAGGAAGAGGGGTCAAAGTTGAACCTCATCTCATTTCTGCCCTCAGTACTTCACACGTTACTCTGATTCCGTCACAGAGTTCCCTACGGAAAGCTAGAGGGTCAAACCAACAGCCAGTGGGCCTGCCTGGGCCATGGACTTAATGTACAGTCCAGCACAGAAGAAGAGCAGAATCTAGGGTCACAATCTGTGGAAATATCCAACTTTAACAGTAATTTCTCCTCAGGCAAAGATGTTATCATTTAGGGCAGAAAGTAGACACAAGTCTATATCCAACAGCTCTGTGACACCAGACTTAGGAAAAAAACAACACGCTCATGACAATACTAACTTACAGTCATTGCCATCCAGAGCTGCGCTAATATATTAGCATGGCTAAGAGGGAGGATTAAGGGACAACCCACTACATGACAGTTATAAAATAAGGGCAAAGCTAAAGAAAACACTGATTTGGTTTCTCTGAGACTTTTTAGGAGGCGGTTCAAGAGCTGAGGAGCAGCAACAGCAAGTAAACCAGAATTATGAATCTAAAAAACAGAGCCAGTACAATTGCTAGAAATTTGTAAATTAAGTGAAGCTGAGTAGAAATCTTTCTTTGAGAGATTCTGGCATCAGAAGTTTCCCAGCTAACGAGGCAGAGGCTTAACCACGTTCGGTTTCAAACAGCTGCACAGATGTTTATTTGGTGTAAATGTTGGGTTTAAAAACATCGGTTAGAGACATTTCGTGGATTGGGCTGTGGATGTGGTTGGCTATGTTTCCCTCTCCCCTCCCACCACAACAGTCTGGCCTGACCCAGTTTTACTGCAGACTGGAAGGTGGTCTGATGTGAAGACCACATAGTGCAGTGTGCAGACACACGAGTGCTGCCCAGGGGATATCCTCTGAAATGCATCCGGTGATGGAGATGACAAGCCCACATCACGCCCTCCCTCTGGCTACTGTTGGCAGTCAATGCTCCAATAATCAGCAGCAGCACCCAGCTGAACGTGAGCGGTCCACAGCCAAGACACATTCACGCTGACATGACAAACCTGCTCTGTCTGCTTCTTCAAATCTGGACAGGAATTACTCTGTGGCATGACATTAATAAGGACGTAATATGGAGATTAAAGAAAACAGTTGCTTTACTTCTCACAGACTCAGAACAAGCAGGTGGAAGAAAGAGAAGAACTGAAACCTGATCTGTCAATTATGGATATTTTCACTTGGTCTCTGTGCCACCAGAAAGAATCAGTGTTAAGTTTCAACTAATGTCTGTCCTGTTTACCATCCAGAACGTTTAATGAAGAGCAGCACAGCCAGTCAGGAGTCTGCTGGATGAAAAGCCACTTTGATTTGATTGGTTGCTGGTTGTTCCTGTTGGCCACTGCACACCGTCTCAGCAGAGAGTAAAATACTGTGCACGGGCTTGTGCCCAGCATTTCACTGAATCTGGATCCAGCTCAGAATCTGCTTTGGGAACTTGAATCCTTTAGAAACGCTCAGCAGACTCCAACAGTTTGTTTGGTTGAGACTGTAAAAGTGGCGTCTGTGAAAATGACTGAGATCACTTTACAGTCATTTGGATGTTAATGGGCAGCTGACATAATAGGCCTATGGTTGAAATTGCAACATGTAATTTCGTAAAAATGGTTAGAGCAGTTTTTATCTTGTCGTAACCACATATGGTGCCAACTTCAAGAAGGTGCAATGTTTACAGAAGGTTGGGTAGTATTCCCTACAGACGTCAGTAATTCAGAACTGTAGCAGTTATTTCTTGCCCTATTTATAAACACTACAGTGGCTGAGCAGGAATGTTTGACTCTCCACATCCATAATAATCCAGGATAAAGCACTATTTATTTATTACAAATGATAGATTAATACAACGCTCAGAAGTTCAAAACTTAACTGAATATAAGGACTGCACAGAGAAGCTAGGGAGTGTCTGTGGCAGCCTGGACAAAGACCCTCTAACAATCACTTCAACATGTAGAAATGTTCACTGTTTAACTCAGTTCTGGTTCTTATGTTCTTCGTACTTTGCCAAAGAAGTTAGTTCAGTAAAGACTTCCTGTTTGGATAGGAATGTAAAATTCAGAAAAGATGAACTGCACGTCCACCATCCACTGAGGTGAGAAAACTAAACCCAGACAAAGAAGAAATATTATCAAGGCAGAAAAAGGTAACTGATAAAAATACAATCGCTCGTATAGTTAACATATCAACTGTAACATGACCTTGGTAAAGTCCACAGCACAGTGAGATACTGTAACACTCCAGGTTGTGGGGGTGGTAATGAAAGAAGACTGGCACTGTGACCCAGCGAATACTGTCGACTTTCTGTGGAGCTACTGTTGTCAGGAGAGACGGTGATGGAGGTAAAACTTTGAGGCTTAAAAAATGAGCGACGAGCGATGAGAGACGTTATTACAATAAAAGTTAGAACTAAGGAGAGTTAACCAAAGATCTGCTGCACTTTTTCCTACATTACATGTTGGATAGTTTGGGCGTTGGTTCTCAGTCCTGCTCCCAAGAACCCCAAATCTACTGTCCTGTATACAGTGAAAGTAAAGGTGCATTTCCTGTTTAAGTTTAATGAACATTTCAGCAGCTGTCACCTCTTACTCTTCCAATGACGTTAGTTCAAATACTTTGAGCACTACAAATAAACTGACAAATTGTCTCCACAGTTTAAACTTCAAACTAACACGTTACATTTTCAGCGAAAACATCATCAGCTGATTTAAGCTCATACACTTCAAACACTTTTAGTGCTTCAATTAAAGTGTTTGCACCTACAATTTTCAACATAAGCAAATTAAATTCAACTTTCTTCTGGAAATTCTGCTTTTTTCTGGTTATTATAGAATTCAGTCGGTAAAAAGCCAATAATTTCTTTCTTAAATCAATAAATAAATCACCACAAGCAGAGATGATAAGAGTCTGCTTTGTTGTTAGCCAGAGTTTGATATTTTCACTCCTGCAGTCTGAACGAGCAGCTTTAAAAAAAAGTCTTCAAGAAAATTATTTTTTAAAATAAAACAGTGAAGGGACTGTAAAATAGCTAAATGAGAAATCGAGGATTCTCAGGACCTCCACAAAGCACTGTATTATTCTCACTCTGTGCTCCAGGGGAAATAAAAACATGATGTTACAGTCAGGACTAAGCGTCCTGCACAATAAGAGCAACAGAGATCTCTAAGATGAGAGTAACTCGAGTCCTTCTTCATGAAACCACAGCTCAGAGCGAGAAGCTGTGACATTAAGACACAATGAGAAAGACTGTGTCAGGGTCCGGAGCATGACGAGCCGCTCCGGGCCTGGAGCTGCACTGAGCGGCTTCATCCTCAGCTGGACTCATGTGAGAGTCATGGGGCTGCAGCAGCTGGGAGCAGAGACGTGTTACACATTCATTTATTGGTGCGACTGGCTTCTCCATCTGTGAAGTGAATTTAATAAAGCACAATATGAATGGAAAGATTGATGCGATTAAACTGAATGTCTTTGGGTTTTGGACCAAACGAGTTATTTGACTTTGACTCTGGGAAACTGTGAGAAGTTTGTTTCTTTTCTAGTTTCTGACATTTTATGGATCAAACAGATGATGATAAAAACTTTAAGGAGCAGCTGTAATAATACTGATGTCTTCATCTAATGATCACCTTCACTTTCTCCTCAAATCTTACCATTAGTTCTGATTAATTTGAATACAACACTATAATACATGTAATGATGTCTGTCTCACTGGATTGACAGTCTACCTTCACAGTAAGGCATCTCACAAAGTCAGCAAACAGCCTAAAGCCACAGTTTTATCACCTACGGTCCTCACATTACACAGACCATGGTGATCCATTCACCACAGCTCGTTAGATGTCTCAGTTCAGGAGACAGGCATGACAGACGGACATTACATCCTTGGAGCACTACCCAGAATGCAATCCTTGTTGCACTTGAACTGTTCATTGTGAATTTTCAACACAAATAGATGAAGTTAAATATCGATTTTTCCCACATTGAATCTCAAATAAAATTCTATCCCATGTCACAAAATGGACAAAACTGTTCCACAGTTGATTTCTGACAGTGATCATGAACTGAAACTCTCACAAAAGGTTCAGTTTCATTTACTTTGCTGTGAGTTTCCACTCAGTGGTTGATACTGTATAAGGCTGAAAGCACGTGA